GAAAATTTCTGATGTAATTGCTTATAAATTGTCTGCACATATGTATGTACGTTCCTATCGTCTTGCATTTCATTGGATCCAACCCAAAACAAAAGTTGCGCGGCGATACCTGCGCGAAGACTCAGTTTTTCGCTGAGTGGACCTACTGGTTATACTGTGTCTCGACTCTCACCAGAGGGACTTTATTCTTGCACACAGCAAAATACACCGTGAGAGTTTGCCGTCTACTTTATTCGTATGATCTATGCGGTTCCACCCGTTATCGAATCCGCCTGAATTCGTGCACTGTGCAGCCGCCTCCGCCCCGGAACTTGTTATGAACTTGATGATTTAGCGAGGGAAACATGTCAATTGATCTGACGAAAAACAAAGATGCCCTGGTGGCCGCTTGGCGCAGCGTGGTCGACGATAAATTGTCTACTAACTGGTAGGCGTACACCTAAGCCCCGATTGCATTTCCTCGATCCGGCGTCATCCGGCGTGTTAGCATCGAGTCTATTTCGGCATACTTGAGCGTATACGACGTGCGTACGAACGTCAAGTCAGCCGGTTATTTTCTGCCGATATCGAATCCATAATTGTGAATTGACACGTGTACACACGCGATCTCGCTGTTCTGCATAAATATCGGGCTGACGATAAACTCTTTCGCACCTACTGAATCTATCTATCTTAATTTTTATTTGCTTTTAAAACTTTTTTTTTATTCTCCCTTGATAATTCCTGTTGAGAAAAGAGTATGTTAGATAAGTTATCTTTCATTTGCATGAGATTTGGATATTTGAACGCGTTTAATTATTTTTATCGAATAAAAAACGATAAATGTAAGATTATGTGATTGTTTAAAACATACAGATGTATGAGAGATGGTTTTGTATAGCTATAGTTCATTAATTGCGATGTAAAATCCAATCATAATTTTAGAGCAAAGATTTTATACAACACGTAAATCTTGTACAGTTTTTTTACTTTGTAATTGAGAATTTAAATATTTTTTAATTTTCTGCAGGGCTGTGTTTGGCTATGAAGGGCAGACTAATAACTTAAAAGTGATCGGAACGGGAAGCGGCGGATTGGAAGAGATGATCGATCGATTGAGTAGTAGTCACATCATGTACGCATTTTGCAAAGTTATCGATACTAAAACAAGTCTACCAAAATGTTTGCTTATTAATTGGGTAAGTATATGGATAAAAAATATATAGAATAGATTTGTTTGCTATAAAATGACACGATACTTTGCATTTTTATGAAATGAAGAAAATATATTACACAAAACTCACATAAGTTTTATAATAATATAGTCCGTGGTGACATTTGCTTGACAAAATATTTGCTTATAGCAAGGGGAAGGTGCTCCAATCGTCAGGAAAGGAACATGCGCCAATCACATTAGAGATATAGAGAAATTGTTAAAGGGAGCACATATTACAATTACGGCGCGGTCCGAAGATGATGTAGAAGTAGACGTGATTATGGAAAAGCTCGCGCGAGCAACAGCCTCCGCGTATAAATTTAATGAACCTCGTAGCGAAAATGAAGGAAACACAGGACCTGTTGGCACAACGTATCGCAGGTATATTAATATTTCTGTCCTATGAGCATCAATTGTTTAGGCTCTCAATGTTCTTACTTAATGTTTAACTCGCAGAGTAATCCCTGCACAAGAGATAAACGCAACCGAGAGAGATCTGTTCTGGGAAAAGGAAGAAATGGAGGAGAAAAAGAGGTTGGAGCAAGAGCGACTGCGTAGTGAAGAAGAGCGACAGAAATTGGAACGAGAAATGAGAGCTCGAGAAGAAAAGGAAACGCAATTGAGGGAACAAAAAGTACGTCTCAATCCTGTATATATTTTTTTATTATATACATCTTATGTTTATCAACATATTATGTATTATATATTACATATTATTCGAATTCACATGTAGACATGAAATATTGTATTTCAGGTAACTGCTAAGGAAAATTCAATCGCTCGTCAAAAGCTGGCCGAGCAGCGTGCCGAGGAGGTGAACAACTTACGCAATCAAAAAACTGCTCAAAATTACGGCAATGATGTCGAAGATGATCATAAGTCGCGAAGCGATGAACTGCGGAAACAGAGGAGCAAGGAAACGCAACAATTGATTGCTCAACGAACGATAAACGCTCGAGCGATATTCGAACAGAATTCGGCGGCCGGCCAGATGAAGACGAGTTCGGCGCAACAATTTTTACCGAAAAACAATCACGTGGAGTCCATGAGAAAAGCGTTGGAAGAGACTCAGATAAAGGACCAGCCCGACGTGAAGCCGCGCGAGGAGACACCGGTCGAAGCGAAAAAATCTACAAGTGTGGAAACAGTGATCTCCTCATCCGCGTCACCGCCTCAGTCTCAAAATATCAATCAAGAATCGAAAACGACCGCCAATCCCCCGCAACCGGCACCCGAACAGACGTCCGAGGCTAAGGAGCAGGTCGCCGAGAATGAATTATATAACCAATTAGACGGCTCGTACTTATATTTTGACCCGAACAACGAGGGGATGAAGGCTAGGGCTTTGTATGACTATCAAGCCGCCGACGATACGGAGATCACGTTCGATCCTGGAGATATAATCACGCATATAGACGCGATTGACGAAGGCTGGTGGCAAGGGCTTGGACCTGACGGAACATACGGGCTGTTCCCCGCTAATTACGTGGAAGTTATCGAGTACAACACAACATGATAAGACGTGTGTCTCTCCGGGGAAATTTATCAAGATCATTTTTCATTTTCTTCGTAATTATCCACATAAAAAACCACCTTGTATGTAAGACATCGGTATCAGCGCAATCTTATCTGCGATAAGTATTATTACGTTTCTAGATATAAGTATCATTGAACCACGTGATGAATTAGTTTCTGAAAAACTAGAGGAAAAGTTTTTGTAATGGGAACGTGTGCTTCGTGTGTAACAACTGAAACCGCACGTCTTCGTAACATCTCACGCCTTCCAAGCCGTTGTTTAATTTTAAAGCATTTATGCATGGAGGGAGTTTACAATTAATATAACAATTCAATTAGTAACGTGTCCGAAGAGAGTTAACTGAAATGTTAATCATAACCGGTAAAATGTATGTCTTCCCAGCAGGTCATACAGGTTTTATCCCATTAATTAACCAATATTATATAAACATATATCTTTTTATAACACCCTGTATCAGATGCTGATATAGCAATAACTGAAATACATCTTATATGTATGAAACATCTTATATGACGGAAACTATGTTACTGCAAAGCTGTGTAATAACTACGTATTTAAACATATATCATTTTTAGAATAAATGTTTCAATTTGTTATAGTTCAACATAAAAGAAATTTAGTAACAAAGAATCCGCTTTTAAATGCAAGTTGATTTTTTATTTTTTTTATATTAGATTTTTAAATGTTGATGTTATGTCCAAAAAAAGCATGAAAATGCTTTTGGTTATCGTTGAAACATCGCATGGGCGGCAGTTGACATATATATTAGGTATGATAAATTATTTTATTGTATAATAGAAATTTTTATAGATAATAATGAGATAAAGTAGCATCACAATATCCATGTTACATAAATAAAACAAAGAAAATCATCTCCGATAATTCTGATTCTGTGCGCCACCCCCACTACCTGCGTGACTCAAAAACGCTAAATGACCCTTTGGACACTTATTGGCATAATGACCTTTCTGTCCGCACTTGTAACACGTCACTTCTTCGAGCGGTTTCTGCGGCCCCCGCGGCGGCGGTGGTCCATTGTGCATATTCATATGATGATGCGGCGCGTGAGAATTGTTGTCGAGCTCCTGCCTAACTTGAGCTTCCCGCACGTCGGGCGGCATTTTGTTGCAATAGATCGCTTTATGACCTCCTTCGCCACAAAAGTGACAAGTGATCATCACTTTCTTGCCCTCCTTTGGTTGCATGTCTTGCACCGCCGGTAATTCGAATCTTGGACTGTAACACAGATTAAGTTGCAAATTATTTCCAATTATATTTCTATATATTATAGACTTGTTTTTGTGTATTTTATTCATATATATATATATATATATATATATAGATAAATGGATAGATATATACACTTACTGCATGAATTTACAATTTGGCCCCTCTGGACAAAAACCGGCTAAATAAGCCATACACAGAACGCGTCTGACATGCCGATGCCGACACAAGGGACCATGCCGACAAAAACCGCGATCATACCAAGGACAGTCTCTGACTTTTGTTTCTGGATCAATGTGTAGGAATGGGCATTCCTTATTGTGACATGCGTCTGTAATAATTCACTTCATTTAAATATAATTCAGTTAATTTAGTATATGTAGTAGCACAGTTTAAATACAGAGAATATTGTATATTATTTGAAGGGATCATTTGTACTGACTGCTTAAGTAAAGTACTCAGCGAAAGGAAATAAGTTTTTCAATAATATTAATAATTTAATATATCTGTAATAGACACATCAGGCTACTTACTGAATCTAGAATAAAAATAACATTCTGGCATCTTCGTCATGTCATATTCGTGCAGAAATTCACACTGATCGCCCTTTTTGCAAAGACCTCTTAACCAGTGTTTACATACTATTGTGCGATCGCCACGAACATGCCTAAATGGACACGAAGCTCCTTTGCTACAAGTGCCTCTTGGATAAAACTGACATACTGCGGCGATTGATTCTGTAAATTAAAAGCGGAGAGATTACTTTAAAAATTTTATATTATTAACATAAAATCGATATATTCCTTCTTTCGACAATATCATACCGTATTTTTGTCGCAATAAATATAAAATAGAGATCATTATATACATGTATATATATATATAAAATTACTCCAAAATTCTGATAGACATTATTATTACTAACAAAAAATCGATTGTTAAAAAAATTCGCACTCGATATCGATATAATAAAAGCAAAACAATTGTACATGTAAGAAATTGAAATAAAAAAATAGGATAAATATGACATTTCGCTGCGCGAAGTTAACCTAACCTAACGCGAGCGGCTGTATAAAAATAATAATGTAAAGGAACATACTATCCATGCCGGTGAAAGGTAACGGAAGAGCCCCATATTGTTCGTCGAGAGCAATCTCAATGTCAAATCGCATATGCTCCACGTTCGCTACTATGCACTCCATTGTTACTGTAAAAATTCGAACAATCAAATATACAAAACACTCGTGCTCCGATTCGATCTGAACTATCGTGAAGCTGTGCCGTGATTATAGTATGCAGCCAACATTACCTGTCGCGGCAAAATGTTACTACAGCTGTGAATTGGTCCCCTCCCCCCCCCCCTCCCGGCAGTCGGCAGTGTCGGCACTCAGCACCCGGCAGTCCCGGCACCGACGAGGTTAGGTTAGGTTAGATTAGATCGAGTGCATCCAGGTGCATCCACGTATTATTTTATCCTTGTTTAACATTCGATTAACAAGGACAAAATGATATATGTATAACAGGGGTGGAGAATCGGAACGGACGGAACGCAGCTCCGGAATCTGCTCCTGCAGTGACAAGAGGTAATATATTCTTTTTAGTTGAACTTCTTGCATGATTCTTTCCGTTGGGAAAAGAAGAGAAAAGATAAAGAAATTCAGTAAAAAAAAAAACAGAATTAAGATTTAATTCGATTTTTCCTTATTATTGTGAATATTAAAGTAAATAAACCAATATAATGATAGATCGGTAAATCAATGATTGTGGATCGAGAAGGAACTGAATTTATATATCATGATTGTTAAATTTGCATATATTCAATAATCGTTCCGTATTTTTCGCAATCGCGCGGTTCCGAAAGAATCTCCCATGAGAGAAATTATTATTTTGAATACCTGTAATTTAAATGTCAGATAATTAGTAACTCATTGGAACGCGCATTATAAGTATATAAATATAATAGTAACATATATGATTTTAATCATCAATTCACTTTCACTGTCAATTATTCAATCAATTGAGATTGTTTGGTATATTATTCGCTTTATTTGACAATTAAAGTACATATATATATAATCGAAAAGTGAGTGCATGATCGTTACTTTGGCATGTATAAAGCCGTCGTTCTATAATTCTAGCTATATATTTCACAGCGCGATATATATTTTGGACAGCGATTGAATAAAATATATATAAATTAGTGATAATCGTTATTTTCTGATTTTGCAGCATTTCACGTTTGTTTCGACGATGCAAAATTGATTATCACGACAATTCCGATTTTCACAGATATTAGATTTATTCATATTTTTTTGAAATTCTCAAAAATTTGTACACTTAAAACAAGATAAAGGTATGTATGTACATTCGAGCGTTGGAATAAGGGAAAGCGAAGATTTTGATTGCAAAAAGTTCAATTATTAGCAACACGAACAGACTTAAGATTCGATTTTGTGTGTCACACGAGGTGAAAATTACAAAATTAGTGAGTGAATATTTATAATTTTATTGATCAACACCTAGTTTACTTTTAGTTAATTTTAACCAAATCGTGTGATGCACAATCGAATATCCCTGTTAGCTCGTCTGAGAACATAAAAAGTTAATATTAACCATCTGCGAGAATAAACTTTATTTTAAAATTAATTAAAATTAATTTAATTGAAAGCTTTCTATCAACGTGAAACTTATTGGTACTATCACGTGTCACTTTCGCTCCGATATTGATAAAAAAAAAGATATTATAAAATATGTATTAAAATTATATGTTCTACGACACAATTAATTTGCACATTCTTTTCTATTAATATTAATATTTTGCTATAACAAAAACAAACGTGAATTAATTTTTTGTTTACAATAGCGCGCAAAGAAAGAGATAAAGAAAGAATAAATCTTCAATCTTAATAATATTTATATATATCTTTTAAAATTCGCAATTTTCGATTACAATCCATTGCGATGATAATGCTGCAGGTATAGGAGATATCGATCGCGTGTTCGCGACACGTGGTTTAGGGGTACCGTGTCGTCATCAATGTCACGAGGAAATATCGCGATTTAATGCGGCTTGTCAGCCGGAGCAGAGCGGCACGATGCGGCGCGGCGCGGCGCCGCCTGACGTCTGCCCGTAGTGCCGTCTTGGCGGCGCCGGCGGGCCGCGAGATGCTGCCATCTGACGGACGGTCGGCGGATCGCGCTTCCGTCACTACGTGACAGCGGGCTCCGAGCGGGAGGAGTGGGGGAGCGGCGCGAGGAAGAAAATGGCCGACGAGGCTACGGTAAAAGGGCAGGGACGTCGTGCGAGGTGCGCGCTGCGCGACGCGAGTACGTCAGTTTCGCGATAGACCGCGCGAAAAAGGGCCGTCGTACCTCCGCCGGGGAAGGCCAGCCGCCGTTGTACGCGGTCGCGCGTCCCGTCGCGGAAATCCCGCGGCCGTACCAGGACTCCGCGGTGCCCGTCGTCGTCGTCGCTTGGTGCCGTCGTCGCTCCAGTGCGCTCCACCAATCGTTCGGGCGCTACGATTCGCCGTTTAAAAAAAAAGCGTTCGCGGGCCGAGTTTAGCCGACGGAAGGGCTCGCCAGAGAGGTAAACACGACACCCGTTTACTGGCGCCTCCGCCGCCTCTGCCGTTCTTCCCGTCCCGTCTCCCGTTTTCAGTTCTCCCGCGTTCTCCTCGTTGCTAAAGCGTGTGCGTGTGTTGTCGCGTCGACCGCCCGTCGCGATCGCGTCGCCGCGCCGCGCGCGATCGCCGTCCGCCGTGAAGATTCTCTCCGCGTGCGACGATTGAGATCGATCAGCAGGTTGGTGAGTTCTCTCTCTCTCTCTCTCTCTCTCTCTTTCTCTTTCTGTCTCTCTTTCTCGCACACTTGTCAGGGCCACTTGTGGCCGTCCGTCTCCGCTTTTTAAAGGGCGTGCTGCCGTCGCCGCAGCCGCAGCCGCTGTCGCGTTTTCTCGCTCTCGTCCTCGCGTCGTCCGTATATCGTCCTCTCTGTGTGTATCGCCGCCGTGCGCCCGTCGTGCTCCTCCACAAGCATCTTTGTCCGCCGTGCCGTGTCGCGTACACACGTAGGTATATACGGGCTATAACGCTCGGAGCGCACGCTCCGAGAGAAGCCCGGAGTGGAGAAGGACGCTGCGCCGCGGGTTGATTATTTATCGCACGAGTATCTCTACCTGTCGCGATGCCGAAACGGGCGACGGGCGGCGGTGTGATTTAAAGGGATCGATTTGTCAACAAGTCGATGATGGGGAGAGTGCCGCGCGCAGTGCCCGACGCAAGCACGGCGGATTCTCGCTTCGCTTGTGAAGTATCATTACGATTTCCGTCGTGTGCATCTCTCTCGCGTACGCTCCGATTCGCGTGCGTTTGTCGCTTTATTGTAACGTAAATTCGTTTTATTACACGTTGATAAAAGCGGAACGCGCTCGTAGTACCTTATCTGTCGACGTTTCCCTCTCTGATCGCGCGTTCATTTTTGCGGAAAATATTTTCTATCGCGATGTAAAATCGTGTACTGTAAAAAAAAATATATGTACAAAAATACGCGATAAAGATAAATTGGTAGCAATTGATGATCAAACGTAGTCTGTTTTATTGTTAAAACTGTAATGTAACTATAATATTAGTCGCGTTTTTCTACTTTTTGATCATTTTATGTGCATTGTGATTGCTTACAGATAAATTCAGCTTGCGGGTTGTATCGCGGTTATTAAAATCTACAATGGCAGTTAGGTAGTTGTGGAAATTAACGTTGAACATTTCACGAACTTCGAGCATATTTATATTTATTTTGAAGATGTAAAGAATACAATCATAATGAAGCCACAGAAGAAGGCTGTTGTTGCCAAAAAGGCAACTAAAATGCCAACAGTCGCCAAGAAACGTCGCACATTTACAGAGAAGACCATGCCAGATGTAAAGAAGGAGAAGAAATCAAAGAAAAATGATAAACTGGAAGATCCAAAGAAGAAGATAGATAACGATAAGAAGAAATTAGAAAAGGAGGAGAGGAAAAAACTGGACGACAAAAAGAAGCTTGAAGAGAAAAAGAAGGAACGATTTGATAAATTGGATGAAAAGAAAAAACAATTGAGTAAGGATAATGAAAAGAAATCTGATAAAATTGACGAGAGGAAGGCGGAAAAAAGAGATGATAAAGCGAATAATGAAGATATGAGTCAAGAGAATACGGATAAGAAAAAATTACAGAGATGTGAAGAGAAAGCGAAATTGGAAAAACAATCGATTGATAACAAAAAGAAATCTGAGAAAACTGAGGAAAAGAAGAAGAATGTAAAATTGGACGATAATGCAGGTGTGGAGGATAATGTAAAATCTTTAAATGCATTGGAGGATAAGGACGCGCTTGAAAATAAGATTGATATTCTCCCTCCTCTCACTAAAAAAAGAGGCAAAGATGAGAAGAAGAAAGATGTCAAGTTAATTAAATCTGATATTAAATCAATATCGAAGAATTCTGTCACGAAGGATAAAAAATCCGAACGCAAGAAAATTCCCGAGAAGGATGCGGTGAGCAATAAGATTTCTTCTCCTAGAACGAAGAAGGATTCCAAAGCAAAACAAAGTCAGAAGAAGGGCATTACAAGAAAAACAGTTCTGACGAAAAAGCCTCATTTATCGGTAGTTAAAAGATTGGTCGACAAGAAGATCAAGTTAGTCAAGCCAGTGAAAGATGAAGAAATGAGCGAAGATGAAGACGTAGTCAAGAAGGCGAAGAAGAAGAGTAGTAACTTTACTAAGAGTAAGAGTACTTTGCCAGAGAAGAAACCAAAGCTGGCTAAACACATGAAAGCCAAATTGCCTCAGAAACATTCGAAGATCAGTGCTGTTTTGAAAAGGGAAGATAAGTTGAAAACTATAACGGAGAAGATTATGGCTAAGAAGAAAATTGAACTGAAAGAGTTTGACGAAGTTTCGGCCGATCATAAAAAGGTCGCTAACAAAGACGAGGCTTGTCAAGGACTAGAAGTGAGCAGCATTAAAAGTGAGATTGAGGAAGACAAGGATTCCGATAAGTGCAAAGAAGAGAATCTTCAACCAAAAGTACAGGATAATAAGAAGGCTATCAAAAGTGGTAATAAAACTAGCGGCAAAGCTCCAAAGAAGAGTGGGAAAACGATAAGGGTACAAACGGAGAGCAATAATCAAACGTCAGTTTTATCTGAAGATGCATCTACCGAAGAATCTAACAAGCAATCCAAAATTTCCGAAGATAGTGCGAAGTCTACTACAAATTCCAAACAGGAACAAATCGGGGCCGAGAATACGGTTGAATTAAATCTAAAGGTTGAGGCAATGAATGGTGAGAGTGCCAGTGGCGTTACATCTCAATCTGACTCTGAGAGTGATTTTGACGACGACTACAAGAAGAGTAGGCATACCAAGAACAAGGAGAGGGCTAACTCACCATCGGACGAACGTGCGCGACGAATGCGACTTTTTGGCTTTTGGAGTGGACCAAAACGACACAGGGTCGCATCATTGAATGCCTTGGCTAAAGTTCACTGCCTCTACGAAAATGAGACCGGCGGAGTCTATCTTGGTGGTTTTTGCAAACCAAAGCCCGAGAAGGAGAAGGAGAAGGAGAAGGAGAAGCCGAAGAAAATGAAGGAGGAAAAGGAGGAGCAGCCACGTAAGGAGAAGGAGAAGAAAATCGAATGCAAAACGGAGGAGAACGTCTCGAAAAGAAAACTGAGAAATGTGCCGGGACTACGTGGCAAACATTGGGATATGCCGGGCAGTTCGTCATCTTCGTCTTCATCCGATGAGGAGAACTGCGAGAAGGAGAAAAATGCTGAACCAAGCAAGAAGAAAATGACCAAAAGGAGAAAGAGAAATGAGGAAGTAATGGACCTGAAGGACATGGTTGTTTGCAAGAGGATGGCCAGTCTTAATGCCACTGCCATTTTGGCTGCTTCCTACTCCGACGAGAAAAATCGTTGTGGTAGCAGCAGTGATTCCTCCACCAGTGAGTCGGAAGTAGAGATAATTAAAAGACGTAGACAAAATGACTCAGACGTAGATAAGAAGAAGTCAAGACAGGGCTCTGATCCGGAGGAGGTTATTAAGCCATCCAAGAAAGTTGTCATCGTTAACCAGGACACGGACGTCACTATCACTGGTAATTAATCATGCGTGGATTAAGCGCGAAAACTCTAACGATCTTCTTTCTACGATAACAAATTCTTTTCAAGGTGTTTACGTCAATCAAACCCGGTCCACCCATCACGAAGGTTTTTGCAGTATTGCCGGTATGCAGTACAGAATTAGTTCTACCAGTCACACTCAAACTGCAGCTACCGCGGTGGCCACTGAACTTCATGATCAGGTTTGTGTTTCATTCAAGATATTAATTTTCTTCTCACGTTTTATGCAAACGTTTATTTTATATGATATGCACATTCAAAATAGAAGCTACAAATTAGCGAACATTTATTTAGAGAAAATTTCTACACTAAAAATATAATGAATGATAATATGCAGAGTGATAAAGCAGATTTTTAGAGAATATCATTTCTTGATACATTTTTAACTGAAAAATATATTGGTAATATACACGGAATTTTATTTTAAACTTTACTTTGAAAATCATGTTAATCGCGGGACAACATAGTATTTCGAATTTTATGTGATTTTCAATATATTTTCTTTAATATATACTACAACAAGCGCACAGTAAAAAACAGAAAAATCACATAAAATTTGTAAAAACATTATGTCATCCCACGATTAACATGATTTTCAGGGTAAATTTTAAAAGGAAATTCTCTTCGTGTACATTTAATAAACCTATTTCGATATTTAAAAGACAACGTTTTAAATTAAATATTTATAAATTAAGTAAAAGTCAATTGTATTTTTGTTTTGCTTGTTTGTATCACGTAACTCTTACAAGCTATCTTACAATGAAACAAAATTATTATTACAAGTATTTTTTGTTTTAAAATTTATATTTTTTATTTATTAATATCTCTATTAACATTTCACATTTTTTTGAAATTGTTTTTTTAATTATTTAGTCGAATATAAATATATTTTCGGTTATGTATTCCTTTTTATCAGCAAAAACCGGAACAGCCTTGCAAGTCCTATACACCACTCGGCGCATTGTCTTCTATGCAGCCACCAGGTAGCCAGGGTAATCATCCTAACATGTCACCACGCAGGCATTCAGCATTCTCGGCCCCTCATCAACACGGTGAGTCAAACTGCATGTTTCTACGCTTTATTCGCCAGCTCTATCAAACACAGCCGTATAATTATCGAAAGCTACATCGTACTTTACATTCCCCTCTGTTTATTATTCGACGTGATTTAAATTAAGTTTCCACGGACCGCACATTTTACGTGAATTTACACGGCTCGTTATATTAATTTACTCGCCTCTCTCTCATGATATTCATAATGCAAACTAAACGAAGAATTACGCGTGCATTGGATAAACGGCCGGAGCCGCCTGCAGTATAGCGCAAATTGAAATCTCGTGTAAATTAGAATTTTAAATTATCTGACGCGGTGTTTTTTAACCGATTGAGACGCGTCGCAAAATTTGTTCTCGCCTTTTTTTCGGACGTACGCCACTGTGCGTTTACGTGTGTGTGCGCGCCGCACGCGTGTTATTACACCGCTCGGCGATTTCCTCCTTCAACCCGTGGCGAGCGGTTGGCTTTTCTCTTTGTTCTATTGACGCTTTCTCACCGTTCTCTCACCCTTTATCCCGCGCGATTCATCGCGAGACATACACATCGCACGCAACCGAGATGCCGCGTAGCCCCGATGACAGCGTGCGAATACACGTGTTGTATGCGTTATGGAAAGCTGACGCGTACACTCAGTTTGCGCCATTTGCTGGCGATTCAGAATCGAAAAGACGTCGTTCGGCTACGTACTTATCGCGTTTCACGTGCACGGAAAGAACGATTTTGCTGGAAGGATCTATAAAAATTTTGATCTGAAAATAATTTTATTGGAAACTTAAAAATCATAAGCATTGCTGTAAAACGTTTTGATATTCTAGCAATCAGCTTGAATTTTCAACAAAATTATTTTGATGATCCAACGAGAATTATTTTTAAGTCTGTATCCAGCAAAATCGTTCTTTCCCTGTGTTATTCTATCTAACAACTTGTGTAATTACTGGCCTCTTAATTTCATTCCTCAATTATTCCATGCGTCTCTGATGTCTGAAGATACGCAAAGGATACGCAACTATAATAACTCTTTTTGTAGATATGTACTTAGTATTTCATGATGCTAAGTATTTATCACATTAAGATGATTCGATAGTCGTGGTATAAAAAGCATTAATTAGCTCAGATCCGTTCAAATAAGTGTATATATTGTTATTGAAGTATAGAGAAAGATTAGCTATACAAATCGTATCACGGAAAAAACAATTTTGCTGAATCCCGATCTGAAAATAATTTTTGTTCAATTAAAATTATTTTGTGCGAAAGTCAAAATGATTGCTAGAATATCAAAGCGTTTATAGTAATACTTATCAGTTTTAACATTCCAACAAATTATTTTGATGATTTAATAAAAAATTATTTTCAAATCTGTGTTTAGCAAAATTTTTAGACCTTTCAACAAAATGGTTTTTTCCGCGTATATATTATATTTTCACTTATCCCGTTTTATTTAATTCGATTTATTAGATTTTAAAATCAAATCGATTATTGAAATGATTAATTTTTCTTTTATACTGTGCAAATATTTGACACCGTGATAAATTTTAGCAGTAAAATTCATGTACGAGTACATTTTGCATTATTCTATTGAAAACGATATTCGACTTACTGAGAATTTAATATTGACTTACTGAGAGAGAACGTCTTATCTTATTTCGCACTTATCTAATTACATCCCGCACAAATAACATGAAGTTCTAGTTATTATTGTAGAACTTTTAGATAATGTTAACAATCGGATTAAACGTTCGAGGAGGGCAGAGGCATTAAGTTTTCGAGTACTGGGGAACGGTGTCACGTTCCCAAAATTGTGTCTTTCTCTGAGACAAAGAAACATACTAAATTAGAAAAACTTCTTTCCAAAATAGAACTCTTTCAAGATTCGAGAAAATACGCTTTCTCTTAGACATTCCAAAGATTAAGAGGAGTCCGGATTTATGTGTAAACCGCGAATGAACTGGTGCTAATAGTCTCACGTTATTAAAGAGGTTTCACGTGATATTAAAAAAAACCTTAACATTTAGCGGAGGGAAAAGCGTCTTCAGTCAGTTTAAGGCTGCAACAAGTTTAATTCTTAGTCGAGCGAGAAGCTTACCCCGCGGATCCCGAGATATCTGCCTCTTACTATTAAAGTAGATAACATTAAATAATAATATTTAACAAACAAAAGATGAGGGAATATGTGTGTGTGTTTAATTTCAAAAAGTTAAATTTCAACGTTAAAAGTATAGAGCAATCAAATCAACTTGTTCCACAACATTTACGCGAACGTTACGCGTAAAAATGTGTAAATAGCTGCGGAACGTGTTGCGCTCTGTTTGTCCGATGACGGTACGAAAATAGATTGCCCGGATAAGGATTAAATCAACTACCCTGAGTTAATTCGCGCAAACGGATGTTACGGCCCCCTCCCCCCCTCCCCCCGCCCCGGAACGGAGTGTGTTTCGGGGAAAGATGCGTTCGTGTGTCGTTGCGTTCTCCCAAATCGGTGTACGATTCCCTTAGGGTTCATTCGGTACAAGAGCAAATTACACGCGCCTCGTCCGCAAACACGCGCCAACGCGAACGATGTTGCACATCCGCCTGCACAATTATCCCGTGCCGGTTTCCGAGAGCAAGGTCAGTGCGTGCTAGAATCTTACTGGCGCAACGTCGTGTGCCAATTCCGAAGTACCTACTATAAATCGTATGAAATTAAGACGAAAACGTGTTACTTTTTAAACGTCGGCGTTTTTGCATTACGCATGTCTTCTTTTTTTTTCTAATTATCTTAATTCGGTGACGCACCTCTATGGCGCCTTTATACGGAGGTGCGATCGCTTCGAATTGATAAGAACTGATCAAGATGCGTGGAAAACCTCCCAACAGAATTTTGCGAAAGCTCGAGTGATTTCGATAAATGGAACGATATATTTAAGAATATAATTCAAGAATTATATCCGGAAGAGGAGAAATAAAACGATTACGAATGTCGGGAAAGTGAACGGAGAGAAGGGGAGGGAAAGAGGAGGACACACGCGGTGAATACAGGTTTTCAAAGATCCGTCCTAATACCCGGCAGCGTATTCCGGATTTACGAAAAAAATAATCCGGAGGTGTGCCGATTTTCCGGAGCTGCAGGCACACCCGGTATAGAGAACCGCGATCGAGCCCGAAACTCTCGCGGAGCGCGAGTTTAATACTCCCCTTCTTATGTAAACCGTGTGTGCCGTCGCCGCTTCCGACTAACGCGGTGCTCCAGTGTATATACCATGTCGGAGATCGCGCGCGTGAGAGCGGCCGCCGCCGCCGGCGGTGGCGGAGACGGTGGCGGAGACGGCGGCGGCGGCGGCGGCGATGGTGGTGGGGCGGCGGCGGCGGTGGGGACGGTAGCGGCTGCCGATGGTGGGGGGGATGATGATGGTAGTAGTAGTAATGCGGCGCGCATATACGCGTCGCGAGGCGCACACCTGACAGTGCTCGAGTGGTAGTCGAGGGAGACGAACGTGCTTCTTTTCGGCCCGGCTTCCCGTTCCGTTTTTTCGGCCGCCGCGCACGCCGGCAGGTCCGAAACATCACCACCGTCGTCGTCGTCGTCGTCGTCGTCGTCATCGTCGTCGTCGTCGCCGCCTCCCTCTCGCCAGTGCCAGTGTACGTCGCCGGGGTTGGACGCGCGAGTGCTAGTGTTTGTCGGCTTTGATAGTGTTCCGTACTTGTGGTGCGCGTCGTACCGTGTAGCCGCCGGGGATACGAACGTACGAAATGGAGCCACGGCGCGAAAAGTAGGTAGAGAGCACTTCTCGGAGTCCGATTGCGCCGTGCCAGTCTGCCCGACTGAATTTTCTCTTCTCCGCAGCCAGCACGGAGAACGCCGTGAAATGCTCTTCGTTCTAGTCGCGATTTACGGATAATTCCTCGGAAAATTCTTGATTTTTTCTTATTCATACTGTCGGCACATTAGTTAGCATTTCCTAAGTTGTGCGAAACGTAAATTTATATACGTAATTGATAATATACGTTAAACACAACAAAATATTATGCTCCGGTTATTTGTGCGTGCGTTTTATCTCAGATAATACGGTTTGAAGGTTGAACACAAAGCGTGTACAATGTCACGCATTAGTGGCAGAAAACATGGCGTCCGAGATGAATTTTTGCGCTGCTGAAAACTCGACGCCGCACGCGAATTAATTGAGAATATTTACGGACGGAGGGCAATGAGGTAACGGCGAATCTCTCTCGCTGAGCAGACGTAGTTGACGCAGATTGTCGGCGCAATTCGGCTTCAGCCACGGTGAATTCGACAAGTGACACGTGCGGCGCTCGACGTTTATGCATCCCCGTGATCGACACGGCCGAGTCGTCCGCTGTGTCACCTTTCGATTTGGTGGACGCTCGTTGACGAAACGACGAACGAATGCTTCGGCATCATCCGATAGGTATTGACGACTGTTTTCGTCTCGCGGTCAGTTTGATTGATGTAGATTACTGCAGATGATCTTCCATACCGCATGGCTTCTCATTCACAAACACCGGTGGAAATGAACATTTCGAGACAGAGGAAATTTGAACATTGAATTTCGTAGCATCCGACAAATTCGATTCAGTTTGCGAATAATTTTTACAAACAAAGCGATGACTTTAATTATTTAACTTTTTCAAATTTTCGAGCAAAAAGGAAACATGATTATTGAATTTCGTAGCATCTGACGAACGATTCAAACAGTTTGCCAATAATTTCTACAAACGAAGCGATGACTTTAATTATTTAACTTTTTCAAATTTTCGAGCAAAAAGGAAACATGATTGTTGAATTTCGTAGCATCTGACGAACGTTTCAAACAGTTTGCGAATAATTGTTACAAACAAAGTGATGACTTTAATTATTAAACGTTTTCAAATTTTCGAGCAAAAAGGAAACATGATTGTTGAATTTTGGAATTAATCTTTTCTTAGCAAAAATAACAGGAGCCATGTTTTCTAACATTTTAACAAGTTCAGCTAAATAATTTTATAATAATTCTTAAAA